ATATATATATATATATATATATATATAATGTCTGTGAGTGTGTATGTTCACAAACTAAAAAAAAATCATTCTCCTATCATTGATGATCTTATAATTTTTCCAGGCGTTTGGTACAATCAAGAAAGCGGGAGTTCACCTCTAGGCTGGTGCCGTCCCTCAGGGCGATAGTACACGGCCCCATTCCACCATCATCCGCCCCATCATCACACTAGCTCCGGGCCTGGTCTGTCCAGCGCTCGACGGGTACCTCCGCACCAGCCGGTCAGGCAGAGCTCGACCAGCTCAGCGTCGTTCGTCCACACCACTGGATCCACGTCATCGGTGGCATCCATCAACATGGGAAAGGACCAGAGGAGGAGCCCGGCTCACAGATCTGATGGTAAGTGGATAGTGGATAGTTTATAGCATAGGTTCCCAAATTTGTTTGTGCCATGGACCCCTTGCAAAGTTTTTTGTTTTGTTATGGATCCCCTATATTAAAGTGACCTCACGTACTAGTTTCGCCGGAACAGTCACGGATTACCATCTGGTGATCCGGGTTTTTATAAAATCAATTTTCGGCCCGGATTGTGCCGCGTTCTCAAAAAGTATAGGTTTAAATCGAATATTCGCAATGCTTGATACTACAATTACAACTACCCATCAAGTATCCGTAGAATTAAGAAAAAACAAGTTTTTGCTAATTTTTTTATGCAATATAGCTTCTTCGAACACGATATAAAAATTATAGCGAACTTCAGACTTTTCGAAACCATTTTTTTAGCACGATTTGTACTTTGCCATAAAATTCAGCTTTCATCTCACCATTTAGTAAAAGTTTCTTCACAGCAAGCATCCTTTTGAGATCTAAAATCGGTATATGCTTGCTGGGAAACAGACCTAGAGAATATGGTAACAGGGAAGCAATTTGGAGCTTTCATTTTTCATTTAATTTTTGTGACCAAAATTTAGGTCATTCAATAGTTTTTAAGATATGCGAGGTTGATGGGCGTCTCGCTCCGCTCTCAATACTAGTATTGAAACAGATCGTACGTTTTCAAAAATACATAATTCGATTTTGATGAAACTTGACATACATTGTTACTATACTTTACTAAGATTGTGACCAAAATTTCAAGTTGGATCATTCAATAGTTTCTGAGATATGGGATGTTCCTGGGTGGCTCGCTCCGCTCTCAATACTAGTATTGAAACAGATTGAACGTTTTCAAAAATGCATAATTCGATTTTGATGAAACTTGACATACATTGTTACTATACTTTACTAAGATTGTGACCAAAATTTAGAGTTGGATCATTCAATAGTTTCTGAGATATGCGAGGGTGATGGATGGCTGGCTCCGCGCTCAATACTAACATTTAAAGTTTAAATCATTTCTAAATATGCCGTGTACCCCTTGAATGTTGCCACTTTGGTTTATAGTATCTTTTCTGATATATTAATAATTTTTCATCGTTTTCGATTTATTCTAAATAAATATATTTCGATATTTCGATAAATTCTGAAATGACTGTTTGAAATCTTCAATGTTCAGCATACCGTAGCTTTTGTTTAGGCGTCAAGATGCTTTCTGCTATATATTAGGGCGGTTCCTAATTTGGTCACTTTCGAATTTCCTTGCTCCCAAGGGTTAAAATGATTCCAAATTGATAAAAAACAATTCTCTGAAAGTTTTAGCTCCTAATATTAACTCTTAGATAGTGCGCAATTCAATCAAACTTTGTATGGAAATAGCATGGAAAAATTTTTGAAAATTAAAAAAATATATTTTTAGGTATAACTTAGCGATAAATAAAATTAAAGTGAGAATTCGTGTCATTTTTTATTGAAAATTCAACGCTCTGCAAAATGTCTGAAATTCTTTTCATGCTATTTCGTTACAAAACTTTGATTGAATTGGTCTCCATCTAAAAATTATATATATATATATATATATATATATATATATATATATGTATTCATCTCTCCAATTATGCCTGAAATGAAACCGCACTCCCCATTTCGTCTTGGCTTGGCTGGTGCAGGTTGGTTGTCTGACTCACCCTGTTCTCACCCCTTTCAACCCTTTGCTCGTCGGCGTCATTCTAATGAAATCTACGAATGTCCTCGGCGCTTGATTAAATACGATGCACGGGCGAAAAATTAATTACATTTACGGCAATCAGGTATTCAGAAGTTAACTACGACCGGGTGCACAATTGTGTCGAGGTGGAATTATTTTGCGGTTATATATTTGGAGCACTAAAATATTAATAGGGAGAAAAGATTGATGGGAGAAAAGATTGAGTGGCAACTTCATTGGATTTAAAGTTGAATAATTTACAATTCAAGAAAAGTTATTGATTACCCAAAATACACCTATAGCCCCAAGCAATCTAGTTTCTATCATTTTGTAACAATCTCAAAATTTTTAAGAAGTTGCAGAGTAATATTTTTCTTACAATTTTAGTATCTTCTAATAATATACATAATTTTCCTTTACATATTTTTATTAAAAATATTTTCAACAAGCAACATACAAATCAACAAAGCATGCATACATCTCTAAAATCTACGTGTTTTTTTTTTAAATTACAAAAGATGTGATTTTTTTGTTGTTTAATAAATATATCAACACAAATAATTTTGCCATTGACATAACAAATACAATATCATGTGATAAAAAATTTGCTTAAATTATTGAAGAACAAATTTCATTGATAATACAATAAATATAATTTTTTTACATGAAGCTTAGTTATTTTGTGCAATGATTTTGAAGCGAGTAAATAATTAGTAACTTATATTAAAATATATCTAGACAACATATAATTTGTTGTAATCACATATAAAAATATCTAATGTTTTAAGTAATGAATATCTTATTATAATATCTATATTTGGAATATGAATAAGTACGATGATGAATAACGACAAGTTGATGTTTTTCTGGGATACGTTTATAAATTAAAAAATAACTACGTAATAAAAAAATCTTATAAATCTATAAAAATGATAATGAAAATAAAAAAACAAAATTTAACTGAAAAATCTTCATAGAAATTTTTTTGTACTCTTACTGGATCATTGGTGAACAAATTAATATCTGCAGTACGTTAAATACTAAAAACTTATTTCAAAATTCTAGATTTTTTTTAAATCAATAGTTTTCAATGTCAAATTCACGGTCAACAACAGAAAATTTAGTCTAACATCTAATTTTTATTAACAAAAAATTTAAATTACTGCTGCTTTAGGTTTTAGAATTTTTCTTATTCTGTTTTAAAGCTGTATGAATAATTTATATCATTATTCATATAAGGTTTCTCCATAAATAATAAGGAAAAGAATATTTTCGATATATTGCTCTGTGTACTGCAAAAGTCTGATATTAATGATCACATTGGAAACCTCTGTTTGGTACATTATAGATTATTAAATTTATCATTCTCATCTAAAATTTAAATCGAAAAGTCAAGATTCAACCAATTATACTATTCGCCGCCGTCAAGGCAGCGATGGCCAATTCACTACTGCAAGGGTTTCTATCCCAGAATGGTCCAGGGCAATCCAGCCTCTCAAAGCACTCTAAATGTACATCTCTTGATCTTGGGTCACAGCAATTGATAATTGCATAAACACATCTTCCAATCCTTGAAGCACTTTGCTGAGCTGTTTGGGGTTGTCCTCCAAAACCAGAAGATGATGAACTACTGGATGATGAAGAAAATCCGCCTGATGGGCGTTGGGATTGGCTGGGTCGTTGATTTGGACGTCCCTGGGAGGAAATAGATAATTGGATTAATAAAAAAAACACACACACATCCTCAGCACTGAATTATTGGATACCTTAAACTAGCACCAAAGAAATGTGCATATCACAATTTCTCTAAAAATGATACAATATAGTATTTGCTTTTTTCCCTAGTCCATTATTACCAAGGCAGTCAATTTATTTGGAAAAATATTTGTACGGATTTCGATTAACTTTGGTTTTAGGGAATACATAAATACATAGTATCAGAGTGTCTTTCCGAAACATGGAAAATCAACCCTTCTTATATTGACTTTTGTGTATGAGATCTCTTTGGTTGTGTATTCGCCCTAAATAAATAGTGATTGATGCTATAGGTTCCAAAGCATAAATATTTCAGTACTGAGATCAGAAAATTTATTCTGATTAGTATTTAGATAAAGAGGACTTGGACAGTGCTGTTGTTTTTATTCTTAATCCATGTTAAGGCAAAGAATTAATTCTAAATCTGGCTTTACTAACATGGTAATACAAAAATCTTATAATCAATAGTTAGATAACTTATTAACAGCACAGGAATAAACTGTGTCTAAGCAAATAAATTCGATTTCCAATATCAATTAAAATAAAGCATCCATTCTTCTGTGACAAAGCTGATAAAACTCGCCTTCATTCCCTAAAAGGCCATTAAAAATCAAAAACAGAAGTTTGAAACAACAAAATCTATTAATAATTTAAAAGTTCGAAGCAAATTACTTCTAAAACGTTCGCTTTTAGATATGCCACGGAGTTTAGTTCAAAAGTTAGAAATGTATTTGTGCCAGAAGCTGCAGCGTACAAAATCGTACACAAAGGAGATTAAATTGATTTTTAAAACTTTGCACTTGGAACGACAATTGAAGCTATTGATTTGTAACATCAAATGTTACTTTCCTAATGTATTAATCTACTCCCGATGGAAAGAAATTATGATAAGACTTGTTTTTTCAATCATCTTCATCTTATAAGATAAGCACGGATCTGAGCCAACTCCTTGAAAACCCAGTACAACATTTCTGCTGATCTAAATTATGATTAATCAGGAGTAAATTACTATTTATTCCTTTACCTCGTTCTGTTGGACTTGATTTGTGGGACTAGATCCAGCACTTGGCCTTTTAGATTGCTCAATTTCCTGAGCATGGTTCAGAGGTGGTGCAGGCCGTTTTGTTGGAGAAGGCACTCGTGGCACTACATAGTCCCAGATTGGACGATCATCGTAGTCTTCTACTTGTCCAGGGAAGCGATTTCAATATCAGGCTTTTCTGTTGCACCAGGTCGATCAATGGTATTTGGACGTTTGGTTGGTCTAAAAGGTGGTAGGTAGGGCCTGTTATCCTGGAAAATAAATTTCAATTAAACTTTCAATTTACAAAAATGATTGGGATATAATATTACTTACATATGGATATCCAGGATTCCAGTAAACTCTGTTGATAGGGAAGTAACGAATGGATGTATCTGGAACCCAACGACCAATGCTAACAGGTGGTACTACTGGTAAGTAGTAGTTGGATGGTGATTGACGTGGTAACTGATAAAAATTACCATTATATCGACGTTCAAATGGATTCACAATATCGTAACTGGAAACAATGAAAAATTGATACATTTTTGTGCAAATGTGGAGACAAATTAATGTTTTTACCTTGGGCCTCCACATCTAGGAGTATATGGTAACAAACAAGGGTTACTGGCGTAAGATTCAGCAGTGACCAAATCATATGGAGCATCAGATTGTGGTTTGTCTATATCAGTGTCTTCAACTTTTTTGTCGTCTTTTTTATCACCACTTGCCCTTCGAGATCGTCTATGTTTGTGGTGTCTCCTGTGTCTTCCTATAGTAAGATAATCAATTTTGATTGATATAATTTTTGATACAATTAAATTATGGCAAACTATAGTATACATTCAATTTGTCTTTTGTTTATATAAATTAATCCTCACCTGATCTTTTATCTTTCTTTTTATGTTTTTCACAGTCTTTACTACCTTCTTCACAAACAACTTTGGGTACCAAAGCTTCATGTGAAGGTGGTATTAACGGGTTGTCATCAAAATATTTTTTATTAAACACCAGTTCTGCTGGTTTTAGTTTCTTGTCAATATTTACTTCTTCACTTTTCACTAAAATATTATCATCCTTCTTCTTGATGTCATCAGATGGAATAAGGACAATTGGTAAATCTAAGCTTGCTTCTTTGGAAGGCTCAGGGTTGTCTATAAATATTGGATGATGTTCTTCCTTGTGATGTACAGCTGTTGCTAGGGATATCGTTGATGCAACTAGTAGTAGAATGAATGCTTTTTGGTGTTTCGCCATAGTTATTGTTGTTACTGGAATAAAAAAATAAAGAATCAAGTTTTACATTGATCTTTCGAATAAATCATGCTATAAGTTAGCTTTTGCATTAATTATTAGAATAAGTGGGATAAGTGTTTTTCCAAGGGTAAATGACTACCAATTACTTAATCTGACTTTGATTTAGATGGTTAGACCGTTGTTGGTGAATCAAACAGGCAAGTTACTTAATTTGTTATGTTAGTACTTTGTAACAATTTTGATCCTGAGTTTGATCTTAGAAGAAAAAAACTGCTCAAATTCAGTATTTGTTTATTTATTAGGTAAATTAGGGAGGCATTTTGTATCAACCTCAATTAGGTAAATTGAGGGACGTTTCATAGGAAAATCTAAATTTAAATCCATCTATATTGTCCAATTGATTTCTAAAGTTCCATCGAATATCAGAATTCATGGAAATCAAATACAACCATGGCAATATATCGTTTGTGAAATATCTGTGTCAATTTGTAACATTTATGACATACTGTGAAATACGATTGCATTTCGTGCTCGCATATTGCGATTTAGTAGTACTCTGGCCAATATTATACTGTTGTAGAATTCCATAGAAATCCTATACCGACTGCATAATAATTAATCGACAAATTAATAATGGTCACTAATTATCCGATAATTATTTACGGCACGAATCTTTGTAACAATATTATGTATAACACATTCAAAGGCACGTGTTGTTAGTCTAGCAAGTTTAGCACGAGTTGGATCCAACCTTTTAATTAAGTTATTATTGGATGTAAATGAATATTTTTTGTACTTGTATGAATCAGAATTTATGCTAAACCACGTTTTATAAATTATATATATATAATATATATATATATATATATATATATATATATATATATATATATATATATTATCAGACATCAGTCCTTTAAGAGGCTGCAAAGGCATTTTTCATCACTTTGTTATTTCAAGGTCTGATATTTACTCGGTTAGCTTCGGTGTAATCTTAAAAGGGAAAATGAAGACGTCCTTATAATAACATCTCCAAGAAAATTGCGTGCGCTCCTTCACAATCTAATTTTCAGGCATCTAAGATGGACGAACAACATCACAAAGTTAGATGTTCTGCTTTACATTCTTTCGAATTACTTTTTAATTTCTTTGAAAGTTACTACAGGAAAAGTTTTTTTATGTGCAATCAGAGAGCAATCGAAAAGGAAGGCATTTTATATCGATCGGAGATTCTGAAAACCATCAGGGTCATTGGGGGATATTTGAATAATAACAATTGATATTGGTCTATCATATATTCATTTTTTGCTATTACGTGTTCTATGAGCTGCATTGAGCACTAGATAATACCAAAAATAAAAATTTTAATTTTAGTGAATATTTTATTGACTGCCCTTACCGTTGAGATCTAGTACATTAGAACAAAATTAGAATACCAAAATCGCCTTTATAATTGTGATATAGCAGCAATGTGCCAAAAGGCAATTTTCTCTTGGAAAAACACATTTCTATCTGTTCTCAAGTAAAAACCAATGTCACTACTGCTCGCCATCAGGCTGTCCGTGATGAGTATTAAATCTACAGCCAAACAACCAACTTCTGATTGAAATCCCAATATGTTATTATTATTACTATATGATTTTTTTTTTGACCGATCGAAAAACGTTATGCATTTCTGGTGATAATGTAATTTGCATGATTCCTGATTTTATATGATGAACTTCTGTATTGGATACAATGCCAAACTTTGATGAAGATTGAAACTTTTGTTACACTGAAAGTACTAAAGTTTTAATGAACGCGAAATAAACTCCGAAGATGATGATATGACAATGATTTAGTGGTACCAAAAGTTTTGTCTCTTCTTACTTTAGTTTTTGTTTGTGGCATATACAAATAATCATTTTTTCTATGAAACTGATAAAAATAGCATTTTTAGTTAAAATATACGGTTGAATTATTATGGCATATCAGTTCTAAAAAATTCCAAGTCGTTTATCAGTTTCATTTTCCATGATTATCAAAAATAGAAGTATTTTTATTAATTAGTAAAAGTTACTGTTCTAGTTACGTAAGAAAATTTAACTCGTACATAGTGTTTGATATTATGCTAATTTGTAAATAATTCAAATTATTAATATATATTTATATATATATATATATACGTGGTCTGTTCAAAAAGTACCCGGAATTTTCGTATATAAATATAAAATATTTATTTATTCGTCTACATTAATGTGGTCCCCTTCAAAGTAGTCCCCCCCAGATATAATACACTTATGCCAGCGTTTTTTCCAATTTTCGAAGCACCCTTGATATTCACTTTTTGATATGTCCTTGAGCACTCTCAGCGATTTTCTTCAATCGAGGAAAACCGCCGTCCTTTCATGGGTCTCTTCAACTTTGGGAATAGGAAAAAGTCACACGGAGCCATATCTGGTGAATTTTTGCACTTTGCAACACTTTATTTCATTTTTTACGCAAAATTTAATACAAATTCTTTGACTTTTCAATTCTTCCATTGTAAAAATCGCCGAGCTCAGAAAAACACGTCGAACCTTAGCGACTACCACAGACAAAGTAAACAGTGAATATAGCTGAAAATTTCATCATACTTTAGGGCATGTATACCAACACAATAAAAAAAAAATTTTTGACAATCAGACACTCCAGACCCGCGAAATTTAATTATTAGAAATTCCGGGTACTTTTTGAATAGACCACGTATATATAAATATTCTCAAATTTAATGAGTTGCATTTTGCCCTAAGACAATTTGCATGAGCTTCTCGATAGTAATTGACTTAACTAATGAGATATGTATTTGTGAATTTCTAACTATATATGTATAATTTATCTATCAATTTTTATTGAAAGTGATCTTCTAAATACAATTAATTTTTTTATAATTTCTCAATTTTTATATTGTAGCTTGACTTTTAAAATTACACAATTCTTTCTAATTTAAACAAAGACGTCAGATGTGGATTGAGGAACCTCGTAAAATCAACTAATAAAAGTCGGTTTCGTTTATATTTTTTTAAGTTTAAATACATTATCAACCATTCGCCAATTTAAGACTTTTCTGATTTGCGTAATACGAGTTTTTTAGGATTTTGAACTTGCCAGTATCGTGTGTAAATATTTACATTAGATTTTGCTCTCTTTGAATTTTACCGAGGTCATCTTATTTAAAGAATGAAATTCAGGCTGGTTAGTGTAAGAATTTCTTATGAAAGCACTTAATTGAAATTTATTTTTCTAAACGAGTCTGATGTGATGTTTCATTCATTTATATACATTTTTGCCCACACATGTAATAAAATATATCTTCTGATGAAAGAAAAATTATAATTAGTGTATTTGCAATAGGTTGCAATCTGTATATATTAAAGAAAAATATTTGGGAGTTATTTAGGCCAATTATGCCAAAAGCCAGATCGTTGTTTTCGAATAAATTGCATTTTAAAAATCGATGGAGCCGTCTTTGAGAAAACATCATTTAATCACACAGATTTAGCTCACACACTTATCCTAATTTTGATGCCTAACGATTCAGAATGACTAGAAGCGTCGAAGAAATTATATAATTGTGTAACGTTTTTTGACTGATTTTTAAAAAACTTAAGTATACGTTTTATACAATCGTTGAGTTTATAATACTAACAAGTTTTTTAATAATAAAATTTTAATACAAGTAATTTAATATTCACCATCAAATATTATAGAACAGTTAATATAATATAATAATAAAAATAATTATTTCAATAATTTAAACATGAACGTATATCTTAACTTATTTATTGTTTAATTTAATTTAATAACTTATTTAACCTTCTTATATATTTTAAATAATTTGCCTAAAAGTCATTATATTCTTTTTAATTTTAATACAAAATATCAAGATTGTTGAATGAAATATAAAATATTATAAATATATAAAAAATCTGCAACAATAATCAAAATTATAAATATAAACTTCTATATAAATTTTACGAGTAAATTAATTTTGAGAATGATTTATATTAGAAAATAATCTTTTTTGTACAAATTCAATTATTCATATAACTAATTATTGTTCATTTTAATAATATAACGGTATTGCATGATAATATTAATAATAATATTGATGATTTTTAATAAATTCTTCATTTTTTAATACAAATATCTTAAGATTTGTTCTGTTCTGTTAAAAGTTTAAGTTTTCAAATAAAAAAAAACTTGCAAAGAAGCAATGAAAGAATTATATATGTATATATATATATATATATATATATATATATATATTTTTCCATCTTTATATAATAATATAAATTTCACTGTAAATTCAAATTAAGTGCTAATATAGTTTCAAGGAAAGCCATTTACATTTTTGGTAACATTATACCCGAAACATATTTAAATAACTATAAAAATCAGAAATAATTTGAAAAAAACTTAACAATACAGAAAATTATTTAATTAAAATTAGTATCATGGGGAATTTGTATATAATTTTCTTAAATATGTAAAAATTGACTTGGTAACAAGGACGATAAATTTTGAATATTAATGAGCAAATACGACTCACCTTATTGATAACTAAAGTAATACTGTGTGCAATTCAAATTCTTATCACTATTTCAACACAAAATAATTTATTTTAACACATTTATTTTAGTGAAAAATTACTTTATCAATATATATTTATTAATTTTATTATTATTAAATTATTTTTTTTATTAAATTAATCCTTAGCTCTGTCCGCGGATAGAGCACGCCGGTAACTGACTTTTCTCTACTCAAGTCAATCGGTTTTGTTACAAAGAAACGCGTTCATGTTATCTTTACTAACAATAAAGTTTTGCTGATATGTTTAGAGGTAATTATTATGTACAATTTATTGCAATTAGTCATTCTTTAAGTAGTATTTGTTAATTGCGCTTTTGTTTATTGCAAACGCCAGTTTTGTGAGAAAAACGCGGTAATAATTATCTGATTTTTTGGAAACTCACATGTAAACAGAATTGGACAAAAGATATGACCAGAATGAAGGATTACAAATCTTATGACTGTTGCACTATTTTTAAACGTATATTACTTGGAGATAATACTAATTATATGCAGTTTAGTAGTTCATCATCAATTACCAATTGGTTTATGACCTACTAATTACAATCTAACATTTTTACTTTGACAAAGGGGAAGTTTATGATTTCACCAGAAAATGCAATTTCATAACTGTTCTTTTTTTAACATTTTCAGTCTTTCTGAATCGTTAGAAACACGAATTATGAAAATTACTATTAGTGTACGTATTTGTTTTTGTATTTGTGTTAGCCAAAATTAGACATTTGACTGAAGGTCTAATACTCCGATAAAATAGAAATGTTATGGTAATGCTATTTTTCAGAGAAAATGCACCTGAGTTTAGGATCTTAATGAAAATCCTAAAATATTACAAAAAAAATAGCTTGATTTTTCCAGAACTTCAAAGCTCTATCAAAACAATTTTGAAATTCTAACAAGTTCTCAATTTTTAAAAGTTAATATATATATATATATATATATATATATATATATATATATCAATTTTCAGTAATGATGTCAAAGGAACGAATTTGAAACTTGCTTTGTGGCGAAATGCCATTTATACCTAGTGATTTTTGGTTCTTAAATTATTTTAAAATAAAATGAATTTTTAAGGAAATATAAATACACTTGTAACTTATATAGAGCATACGCTGTTTCACAATTCATAAAACGTAAGATTTTTTTATTTATAAGTGAATTTTATAATGTACGGTATATGAATTTTTGTAAGTTTTATTTGATTTGATATAATACGTTTTAGCTATCATTCTAGTCTTTATAATCAGAAAATACAGTTTAATATTCTAATTTGTTTTTTACCATTAGTGCATCAAAATTTTCACAGAAAAAAACAATAATTACAGAAATTTTCAATTTATTACATAATTTTCAAAATACAAGAAAATGCACAAAAAATATTTTTGTTGAAATACATGAGATTTTTTTATTAATCATATGTAAATGACTTGATTATCTTTTCTATAAAATATTGTTCATATTTTGAGTGGCGTTAACCACGTTTTTTTTTATTATATTGCCAATTTTACTCAGAAATCACATTTAACTGATTTTTTTTCTTGCAAATTGTAACTGATAAGATTTTGTGATTCAATATGTCTTAGGTGACGTAAATATCTTGGACTATGATCCAGTAAATAAAGATAAGAATAAATTCATTCAAAGTGAATCATATAGTTCCAACTAACTTTTCAAAAATTTAATTTTGGGGTTGGGCTAGGTAAAGTTTTATGTGCAAAATTTTGATATAATCAATTACTTCGGATTTTTTTATTTGAATCGGTTCCACAATTGTTTACATAAAAATACAAATAATAAGAAAAAAATATAATTATAACAATGAAAATGATTAATGAATTATTTTTCATGCAAAAACTTCAGACGTAATCTACAATTCATAATTGTGTTTTTTAATATTAGGAAAATTCTTCATAATTAATTTGCCATTAGTGAGCTTCAGAATTATATTTATGATTTTGCCTGCATTGTTCAATTTTTTTTCATTTATTTAAAATCTAATGTTTGAATCTATGAATTTTCAAAAAAAAAAAAATGTAAGTAGAAATGAACATTTATTAAAAATTGTGCATCAAGTGGATATTTAAAGGATTTCTTATAGTCAAAAATTCTCAAAAATGTTCGCATAAATTAAAGAATTTCAACATTTAGAATATTATTTGAATAATATCTACATCAATTCTATATCATTTTTATATCACATTTAATTTTTATATAAAGGATAAGTTAATTTTAATAATTTTTCCATCAACAAATTCATATTATTGAACTTATCAGTAGATTATTATTTTGCTTAAAAAATCTATATTTTTGTACACAAAGCTTTATGGATCTGCTAGTCCTTAATGAGCTTTATTTTATCCCAATTACCTTACTAAATTACATTTCAGCTCATTTTAATATACCACAATTTTTACACATTTTTTGTAAATCATATGTGCAATTTTTTCGCACATGTTAATTCAATGATTTTATTTAATTATTAATGTCTTCCGTTTAAATATCCATTATATACACAAAATTTGTGAAGGCTAAACCCATCCGGCGTTTAACAAATACTTCTTCATTTTTGTTAATTTTTGGTCATATGTAAACATTTATTAAACATATGAATAATCACACATGATGTCACATTTAACAACAAAACGTTTCTAAAGGCCTTGTATCACACCTCGTAGTAATTTTAATAGTAAAAGATATAAGATTTATAAAAAGTGATTGACATTGGTTTGTGATTAACGATATGATATATTAATTAATTTAATTGATTATCACAGTAATGGTGGTTACTCAGACTATTAAATATGTAGTAGATATATATTGCATTACAAGATAATGATGTAAATAATGAGTAATACGATTAGATGTCAGTCGATGATTTAATTAGAACTTAAAAGATTTTCTTAAGATTTTGTAAATAACGAATCTTCTATAATAAATGTATCTAAAATGTATTAAAATCACCTATGACCCTCACATTATCTATTTAACCTATCTCCGACAATAAAAAAATATTTTTGTTATCTTCACATTTTTTTAAATTTATATCATATATATTTTTTTAATTTGTTAGTTCATTTTTTTAATGAATAATTATTTAATACTTTTTTTGTACAATATTAAAAAAAATTATACATAGTTGCATCTCAACAAAATTTAAAAGAACTTCATCCTATTGTAATAAATTTTCACTATTTTAAACTTACTATTTTTAAACTACTATTTTAACTGAAGTGAATTTTGAAAATAAATTACTAAATTTTTATAAATTGTTAAAGAGTCCAAAGTGTAATGCGCAATCTGTCTGTGATTTCAGTTTAAATTTATTACAAAATACTATTTAGTCATTTTCCAAGATTATATTCGTATTGCTCAAGTTTAAAATATACCATCAAATATGTGAAAAAATATCCAAATGTTTATTTGATGTTTAAAATAAATAATCTAAATACCAACACACAGTGCCATCTCTGGATTATGTTTCAAGACTTGTTTTGTAAAGTTAATCCAGAAAATCTTGCGAAAGATTAGGTATCGATGACGATGAAACAATCGAATATATTGATAAATTATGTGTAAGAGGCATCCAGCTAAAAAAATAAGCAATTTTGTGAAACCTTCTATTGGCTCGAATAGAGGTGATATATTGGTTCGATGTATTTATGCACTAAAATATTTAGGCAATTTTTGTGAGCAATTACATTTGTTTAGAATGAGCTAATGAAAACATTATCAGTGCATTCATTATTAAGTTAGAGATGTGCTACAAAAATTTGGTGTATATAGATGCATAAATTTTCGAGTTGTACGACTTTAAAGTTCGCAATGTTCAAAAAATATCAAAAAAGTTCCTTATTTTGACGATTACTTTCTAAGATTATACTTTCTAAGATTATTTTCTAGATTATACTAGAGCTTCAAACTTTGTAAAATAAATGGTCATTTAGACTAAAATAATTGCAATAAACTTTTATTCAAATACTCTTTCCATTTGGCAATAAAATCGAAAAAACTGCAAATGTTGCCTGATCAGTGCACTAAAAATTTCAGGCAAAAATTATGAAAAATTTGATTCTTTCGGATTGAATTGATATTCACAGGGTTTATACCCTACAAAGTTAAAAAGCTGCCACTTTTCGAGTTATTCAACTCCAAAGAAATTGAGTCGTTAAAACTTGAAATGGTTTGAACAAATATCTCGTTGAGGGTAATAGATAGGTAAGAAAAATTTTACGAATAATAACCTATTTCAACTCGTCCAAAAATTACAAGCAATTAAAAGTAGCCAGAGTAAAAAAAATCATTGTTTTCACAATTGCTCGGCATCTGGAGTAGATACAGATTATAGACAAGGACTGAAGGAAAGTGTAAATTAGCTAAAAAATAACCACAGTATGTCCACAGATAGACGAATGAATCCCAAATGGCACTATTCATAACCTAGTACAAGACTGCAAACACCCATTTCAACTCTAAATACTCAAATCCCTCATTGAATCTAAAAATGTATTATCCTCAACCATATACGGCAATCCATGAATTATTATCGCTCCTCTTATAAACGAAATTAGATCACCTCCCATATCTCTGAAGATGTGTTCGCTAAGGAAATTCTCCGAAAAAGATATCAATTTCCAGGACATGGGAAAACCTGACTAAGTCATCAATCGATTGACTCAGAATCGGCTGCGTCTTGGCTTGCGTCACCGATAAGGCTTTGATAAGGAGAATACTGGGAGGAAGTTCAAAAGATCAGAAGCAATCATTATCGACGAGCAAAAATTTAATTATACGGATTATTATGTTAATTATACGCCTCTCCAGCTTTATGAGACAAGAGAGTTGTGCTGGATAGAATTATTGCATTCGCGAGGTGAATTGGATGAGATACCATCGAGATCGAGAGATTGTGGATCGATAGTTTTTTCAAGTTATGAGTAATAGGAGTCTAATTATTTATAATTGGATTGTATAACTAATTAAGATAAACGTGTTTAGCGTGATGACACTTGTAATTAAAATCCATTCTTTTTTTTAACTTGAGCTGCA